ATGGACACAGCACAAAGTGTCCCATTGAGAAGTGTGAGAGTGCCCAGGGTGCCTTGTTCCACAACAAGCTCTTATTCTACAACAGACGGACTGGAGCTCAAACATACTTGTAGTAGGAGGCTTTTCAGTGTCTTGATTGTCAGAGAAAGTAGCCTTCATAGATTGTAGGGTGTAAAGAAAAAAAGGCTTGTCTTGAGGCTTACAAAAACACTTCTCAGTGTAAAGGGGGGAACATTTAGCTGAAAGAGGCGGGGCCTAAATCTGACTTTTTGATCTTTTGAGCTGCTGGATCAAAGGACTAGTTATGTACAGAGATTTGAGATGTTTTAGGTAATTCCAGGCACAAAACTCCCATGTGATTTTATCAGTTTCACACTACCATATCTTTGCCATATTTAATGTTCCAAAACCACATTTTCAAGTTAAAACATGTCCTATATATTTCCCATGTGAGTGTACCACATGATCATTGCATGTAGAGTTTTTCACCCAGGAATCACATGGGGTTTTCTGTAAGTGAAACTTAGTGTGAAAGTTAATTTTTGAAGAATCAGTATGACTAGCACAAGAGAGTTGTTTGACTTGTCATGTGAACAATAGCTAGAAAGTGGACCTTCAAACTACTATTTCCAAGATCAAGAAAAAAACGTTCATACTATATAAGCCAACTAAAAGGTCTATGGATAAACTGTAACAGCTACTGAACATTAAATGTCAACAGAACCATCTCAATATTACAACAATCTATCAGCTAATGAAGAATAAAAAAAAAAAGCAAGTTGGGATTGCTTTGTCGAAATAAACTTAAAGCCAAACTAATATCAGTCAGAGTCACACAAATGACACAGGCTTTGTTTTGTGATGTTCATGTCTTGATGTTTGTATTGTCAGACCATGATGATGATTATCTGTAGGAAATCAGGTTAATGCCGACAAAATTGCAGCCTCGTTTGTCCTATGACTCACTTTGTTCATTCATGTTTTCAGTGTTTGCGTCTATCATGTGACCTGGCTGGTGTCCTTGATCAGCTGTCACATGACTGGAGGAGCTGCTGATCTGTCCAGTCTCCATGATCTCATTCATGGAGTGAGTTGTCCGTCCTATCACCATGCATCCTATCAGATGAGTGTTGTTGGCCACAGTGTGGTCTGAGCGCTTCTTATATGCTAAACTTCACTTTCAGTTAGGGATGGGTATCGCTACTTGATACTTTATGGCAATGACCAAAACAGCAAGTATCAAGAAAAATCAAAACGTCTCCAGTCAAACCAGTACTTCAATTGTATACCTTATACAAATACCTTAAATTAGTTTCCCACAACTTATTTCACTCCTCCTCTCTCATTCAAATATAAAAAAAATTGCAAGCTGGATTCTTTCCCCATATAATAATACCCATAAGGATGAACTAATTAGTCTGAGGAGCGATCTGATAGAATTTCCCAATACTTTTATTTAACAGTGATTTGAAACAAGAAAACAATAAAATAGATAACCTTGCTTGTCCATAAGAACAATAAAAATAAAAATACCTATCAACTACTGTGGCTTTAACAGGTGGCATTTTACGCAAGGTATCGAATGAACTAGCCTACTCTACTGGTATAGGGATCATTTTATGTGTACTGGTATTGGTACTGGTATCGTAAAATTTTAAATCATACCCAACCCTACTTTTTCAGTACATCAATTTAGTGATGATGATTGATGACCAATGAAAATATTCTGAAAAGAATACAGCTGTTTGGGATGACACATGTGACCGATCTAAATTGCTTAAACAGATATAACTAAAAATCAGTTTACGCTGCAAGCCCTATGAAATTCCTTTGTGCATCCTCTGCATCACTATCTTCTGGCCATCTGTTTCCAGGCTCTGAGCATTTCTGTCTTGTCAGCAGAGTCTCTTCCTAGCGATGACATTATAGTGGATTAACAGTTTCTCACACAAGGTGTCTCCACATCATTCAGGGGTGTTTCCAAAAAAGATGAATAAATGCTTTCTCACGGTGACGCTAACAAAGAGAAACAAGTATATGTTTAGAAGAATTCACAACCTCGAGTTAACTGACAAAAAAAGTAAAATTAAGTTAAAATAAAGTTGTAGCTAGGGTTTTTAAAATAAACCCTCTAATGGCTTTGTTTTAGAAAACTAAATTCTTAAGTCTTACTTTTCATGTGGTGCAAAAATAATGTGTCATCAGAAAGTCAGACACAGGGTAGGCAGGATAGGGATTTTGGATGAGAATACTTTTTCAATTCTTTTTACATATTTATAGATTCAATACGTAGCCAAGCTCCCCGCTTAATGTGACTTTATAGTCTATCTAAGGCTTGTTAACTCACTCAGTACTAGCGGTAAAACTGATGTCAATCACACCTGTGTGACCAACATAAGTAGACTGAAATATTCCAACTGCCAGTGATGGTATCTTTGATGTTCATAACTAATGGAAAAATCACTTGGAGGTGTTTTTATTTTGCTCTGTCTCAGTTTGTTTGTTGTTACGTGGGCAATGTTTCTTGCTCCTCTGCACCTGACAAACCGGAAGAAGGTGCGTGTATTTATGTCTGTGTGTTTGCGTGAGCGTGTGTGTATGTACCACAGGATGTAAGATAACCATAGTTGATCTTTCCACGAAGTACAACGCACCCACTGTAGCCCCCCATGACTTTTCAACTCTATAAATAGTTCTTTCTGTTTCCACATGTATGTATCTCTAGCAAGTGCACACACACACACACACACACACACATACTGAAGGACAGTCACAGTTCTGACTTTGCTCTGTGCTCAAAGGGCTAAAAGCCATTTGGACAGTTATATTGTCATTAGCAGTACACTTGTATCAGATATCAAAGAACTGCAGAGCTACACTGATGTAGGGTTGTTGTTTGCAATCTGTTGCCACTAGACTATTTCATTCAAATGCTTTACAGAAGTCATGTGCATGTTTTTACAATCTGTTCTGACTATAAATTCATTGGCAGCAGTGCCATGTTCTGGTGTTATTGTGAGCCCATGTCAGCACAAAAAAAAATTGTATAAAATTTATGGGTGAAGTGAAATCTGTAATAATTTATTTGAATAGATTTCAAAGTCGTTTTAAAACAATTCAGACCCAATATAGAATCTGTGAAAAGGGCAAAAGTGGTGAATCAGTTTGGCCACAACAGTCTCAACCAAGATTTATGAATACTGATTGACTGACAGTCGTATTGAAGGCAGTAAGAGGAGGCAGGATCTTTAAGCCAACACATGGATCTGAAAATAGCATGAGAATGGCTATAGTACTGGAAGGAATAAAATCTGGAGCACATTGTTAAAAGATGCAGCAATTAATGACTAAGCCTTTCATATTAAGACATACTGGGCTTCAAGCAGGGACAACTCAAACAAACGGCCTTGTTCTTAAGCGGCTTGTGTGAGCAATTTAGGAGAACATGGTAATTTTGAATTTTCTCTTCAGGCAAGAACACAATTTCCATATGGCCCAGACCTGTTGTAGGAGTCATGGGCAATGGCCAGTTTTTCCCAAATGGAGTATACATTTTATTACATTTAAACAACTTTGAGTTTGAAAATCCTTTATAAATTACACTTAATAATTATGATGATATAATCCTGTTTGACTCTGTAATTTGACTTATAACTCTAAATGAATTCATACAGCTTCAGGTGATACAGCATTAACAGCTCTCATTATTTTTTCCCATTTCTTTAGCTGTTTAAAATTATAGATTTTCTTTTGTCGATCTCCAAAAGCAGGACTTCAACCTCCAAACTTAGTAAGTAGTAAGTAAGTTCTTGTTTTTACTGACGCTTTTTACTTTTACTCACATGAGCCCAACGTACAAAAAAGTAAGAGAAAGTTAAGATAAAACTATGAATTGTGTATTGTAATTGTGGCCTATATGTTTAATAAAAAATTTTCTTCATTACAACCTGCATTTTTGGGTTGTCCTGGGGGCTAAGTAGTTAAAAAGAGATATCACATACTGGGTAATGTATCCAGTTTGATTCCAGCTGGGGACTTTTGTTGTAAGTCACAAATAGTTTTGCTGCCTAAAGCTAACCAAACCCCCCTAACTAACCCCCCCAGCCAGCATATAATCTTAAAAACTGCTTAGTTTACCTATTTTTGCCCATATACCACCAACTTTCAGTGGAATCACGTGAAAGAATGTGCATCACATAAATTGAGGAACCACTAATCAATTATTTTGGTAAAAACCATTAAAGGAACATTTCTGAAAAGAACAATAATTTAAAAAAAAAGCAATCTAAAATGGGGAAAACAGGAAACAGGTTGTGGGTGACACCTGAGATGCTGTGAAAGAACTGGGATCATTTTTGTGTGAACAGATGATGCCTCCTGAGGGAGACATCTTTTTCTGGTGGATGGGAAAGCCATAAACATAATACATCTATCTGGGAAATGAATGTGCAGATCTGAACAATACATTAGGATGCACAGGTCGGAACAAAGAGTCATGGGAAGGGAAAGGTTTTGATGAAAATGATGCAAATGACTCAGACTTGCTTGTTCCTGAGAGGAAACGAGTGTTAGCCAGACCCTTTAAAACCTGCACACACTCACACAGGCCTTGGCTTGTGGGCTCGGCTGGAATTCATGAGGAAAGAGCATTACAATGGCCTCTCTCTCTCACACACACATTGAAGGGGGCTGGGGAGAGAGAAAGCTCTTGAGAAAACAGAAGTTACTAATTAAGTAAAATTGTCCCACAGCAGTTAGATGTCTAGCTGAAGTCTTCCCCTCTCTCTCTCTCTCTCTCTCTCTCTCCAGATCCGCCAGATGTTTGACTTCCTGATGCACTGACTTTGGTTTTAGTGCTGTTTCATGCTCTGTTGTCACAGCAGGAGATATTGTGACTGATCATTAGAGAGGATGAATAATGAGCCCAGCTGAAACACCAAAGAGTAAGAAGAAAGACGCAGCAGGAACACAGAAAAATACATCAAACAGGAAACATGAGAAACAGGACACATGTTTTAATATAATTCAAAGGACTCCATCTGTGTATAGAAAATATTGGAATGTTCTATAGGAGACCAAAAGTATATTTCCCTGTACGCTTCTTTCAATAAAGCTTCCTGAATAGGCAAACAATTCAATTCAATTGGTGGAGAGATGGTGAGGGATAAGCAGCCAACATAATATCCACACAGAAATACTAGGACTAATGATAATAACTGTAGCAACGGGTGTTGAGCAGGAACATGGGGACAGCGGGAAACCAGGAAACACAGATCCAGACTCCACAGCTCCAGAGCCAGAAACACCTTCAGAAAGGGACAGAAGGAGAGAGAAGAGGGGCGAGAAAGGGAGAGGAATGAAGTCAAGTTAGTAACATGCATTAATGGGATAAGAATGCATACAGATGGAGAGGGAATGGAAAAGAGAGGAGTTTTTTGCATCATGGGAAGTCCCCCAGCTGTCATTCTCAGCTCCGCCCTCTGACTTCCGAGGTAAATGGAACGCACCATAACAACCACTAGTGACCATTTGCTAAACCCCGCCACCGAACAATGATTGTCCAGTCATCGGACTCGGCCAGCTTCCCTGCTGAAATTATGATCTCGCGCGCATGCTAGTATGCCAGAGTTTAGAGTAATAATAGCAGCTCTGTCTCTCTTTATGTGGTTTGGGGAGGTTTATACTCAACCAACCCCAGGTAATGCTATCTGACTCATGTTTGGCACACAAACTTGCATCAGATAGCATTACCTTTGCCAAAATCATCATTATTCCACAGTTTTACTCTTGTCAAAGTGAAACATATTGGACAAAAACTGTGTTGCTTTTCCAATTGAGGTTTTTATAGTAATTAATTCAAGGGTTACATTAGAATTAGTCATATTTCAAATACATTTTTATTTATAAATGAATACAGAACTATAGCTATTAGTAGCTCTACCCTAAACAATGCTGCTTCTTTATTTCTATGTCCTACACATGAATCATCAACTCAGAAGGATGCTGATTTTTAGCGTGGGACATGCAGCTTTAAACTCAGTCTTCAAGCATTACATCATGTGTGCAACCATCAAGTGTGTATTTAAGATCGTTTTATGGGCTCTCATTTTGTTCATATGATTGGCCTGAAAACCGCCTGACTATATACGCAGCCAATCTATGTGTAGGTGCCCCATTGGATGATATGTGTGTGGATGAATATGATTGGTTGTCCTATTTTATTTTTCTCCGCTTCATGCCTATCCTGTTTAAATGTTCTTTGTGTTGTGTTTTATGATGACCCCGATGAAGGCCATGAAGCTGAAACGCATTGGTCGGCCAATAACATTCTTTTTCATACTACAAGTGTTGCTGAAGTCATGGCCTCTACATGTTCTTGTTTTGACACAAATAAGCAAAAAAGCAAAAAGTCATTTTCAGCCAAATCGCAAAGTTTAAGCATAGCATTAGCTCATGCTAGTTTCTGCGGCTTATAAAATCTGCTCGCAGTCATTTCAGCACACAAGATCCACAGTCATTGGCTAAAAATTTTAATCCCCCTTTGTTGAACAAACACAATGCTTCATAAATGAATGTCAATTATGAGTGGTAAGCCTGCCACTGGTATACAAATTGTAAACTGCACATGTTATGTGCTGTAATGGAAAGCACATCAGGCTTAGCAAAAGCAACTAAGGGGGAAGCTGAAGCATGTGGGTCTAATAAAGCCGGTCCTGTTTTTACCTGTCAACTCTCCTTTCTGACTATTTTAGGGGGGAAAGATGACATTAAAAACAATACTGGTAGTTTTTAGCTCACAAAACCTTGTGAGGGGATAATGCATGTCACTGAACAGGACTGGACTGGGACAAAAAATCAACCCCGGCATTTTTGGCCCAGGCGGCCCACCAAAATCGGCCTGACACCCCTCACCAATCCATCCTTCCACTTAAGGGCTCAGATTAGGGGTGTGATGAAACACTTAGCCCATGAGACGTAACATTGCACAAGATTGGGGCCATGACAACTACACAAGAATATATTTTAATAGGCCTAATATTTAGGAAAAAAAATTATTGATGAAATAGTTGATAGGGGGGTCCAGGGGTCCTCCCCCAGAAGATTTTGAGCATTGAACACTTAATTTCCTCCACACAGGGGACATTTTTTGGAGACATTTTCTGCACCAGGGAAGCACAAAATTCAGGTGGCAGGTGACAATTCAGAATATAAAAATATAATAGAATATAATGCAGTAACCAGAAGCTTGTTAATTTTTTTGGACAACACTTCTATATTTACATTGCATTCCAGGCTTATTGTGCAAATAAACCAAGAAAGTAACGCAAGAAACAGAGCAGAGGGAGTGGGGGCTAGTAATAGATGTGATTGGGCTGGCCCAGTGTCAGTATAGAAAATGACCCAATGGGCCGCTGTCCATACTTTATGGGCTGATTGTTGTCAAATTCTTTAAAAACAGTTAGCCTATATAAATACATAATTTACATTACACTGGCCACAAAGGTGCGTCGGCCCACCGGGCATTTGCCCAGTATGCCAGATTACCAGTCCAGCCCTGTCGCTGATGTAGAGTTTACAGCGAGACATGTAGTCTGTACAGATCTGTGAGTCAGTCTTTAATAGAGAGACAAAGTGTTACAAAGGCTGTAAGCTGTAATTAAAGCTCCAAAATGTTTGATAGATTGACTTTCTTAAAAACTATCCAACAAATGGCCCAGGATTGGATTCAAAAAGTTCGGAAATAACGTCTCTGTTCTCGGTTCACTGAAACATGGAGAAAACATTTCAGTCTGGCATCACAAGAGTGGATGACATTCTCCTTTGTGCTTTTGATGGAAAACAGAGGGAGAATCGTAAAAGGAAACACACATTTCCTGTGCGACTGGTGTGTGACGTACACAAGTGTGTGTGATGCACTCGTTGTAGCCTTAACAGGCTGGAATGTGACATCAGCAGCTGGCTCCCAAATGAAGGATAAGCCGCAACCAACAAAAAGTCACACTCACACAAATTGAAGCCAGAAAAGAAAATAAATGAAAGAAAAAAAGACGCGGCCAAGGGTCAATGAAACAGTAACAGAGGAAAGGAAGGATGTCCCCTCTTTAGACTCCTTTTCCATGCCACCCACATTGCCTTCTTCAAAGATTTGTAGTCATTTTTCTTTCCCCTTAAATGTCAGGAGAGAAACAGTGCCACAAAGTAAGCAATCTTCACAGGAACATAAACACTTAAATGTTTCCTTTAACAACTGCTCTTTGTTAGTTTTGTAAGTTAAGACAAACCGTGTCGAAATGTGAGCAACACATACATTTACCCACACATAGAAGACACACAAAGTCAACAGCTAGCTCACAAAGCTACTATCATTTAGCTTTTGGCACAAATTTGTCCCCAAGTGAGTCGTGAATAAAGCAGTCTGGAGAAAACCAACATGTGAGTGGAGAGTAAAAAAGGATAGTGAAGGAACTGGAAGAAATATTTAGTCTTTCTAGTGAATTTTTGTACAATATAAACAGAAAGATAAGAGTACAACACAAAGAGAACAAGGAATCAGCAGGTCTGTTTTGAACAAGGTTTAGCTACGAGTTTGGCTAAGATACTACCAAGTAAGGTACATGTGATTATATCAAATACACATTGCACTATGAATTGGATTCACTGACACCTTACCCTGAATGAAAAACAGGCTTAGATCTTTATACTGATTGGCTGCTGTTGTCAGACACACCATTCGAGACAGGCAGACAGGTGAGAGAGTTTGTAAGACTGATCAGTACTGTCAACCAATCAGGGCTTTTGTACATTAATATTAATGCTACTATGGAAATTAAAAATAACATTACAACCCGTTACATAAATACATCATCAGATAATGATGATTTCTTTGAAATTAACTTACTTTATTCTTCTCAGTATAAGGGGATTTTGCTCTGCACAAACCATAAAAGAGGCAATTCTAGTGTAAGTTACACGTTTTTTCTACTACACAGTATTTCTGGCCTCGACCTTACAGGTGCATCCCTCCACAGGCAATTATTTTATATTTGGAAGTTGGTGGGTGACTTCATCATGGAAACTTGAGATCATATGTTAGATGGAAGTATCATCTTAAACAAGTGTGACAACATACAGAAATCTTGTAATTAACTCCTCACTTTAAGCAGAAGGAGACCTCTGTGTGACTACATGCTTGACATATTTAATGATTTCCTACAGACATTTCTTAGATTAGTAGGTTTAAATAAATGTCAGCAGTCTGTGAGCTTGACATGTTCTGACATGTTGCAGTCTCTCTCCCTTACACTGCACAATCCCTTTCCAATGACAAAGTGACCTCATTTCAATAAACAGATTTGGACTGAATGTTAATCTCCTATCAGTAATAATTGATGACCCATCCAACTCCATTAATCATCCTTCTGTGAACAAAATTAAAGAGAAAGCAAGACGATAACTTTGCTAAAGGGGCTGAGAAAGTGATCACATTGCTGAAGGGAGTTGGCATATAGCCATCTGGGTACAGTAGCTATACTGCTGAGGAAAGGATTTAACGCTGAAATTGCTGTACAGTTTCTAAATAGCTTACTGATCCTGTATTTTCTGCTGTGGAGGTGATGCCGTATATTTCCAGGAGGTGTCCCCTACTCTTATCAAGGACACTCAATTCCACATTCCAATTACAAATGTCTGATTTTATCAATATATTTGTTTTGTCTTCATACAGTGTGATTTAGCAACAGAATTCAAATAAAAAATATTATTAAAGTGGTACACTGTAGGATTCTCCTGATATTTTTGGCGTTATTAACCCCAAATTTCCCAGAAATTCAGAGACATGTGATATGTTTGAATTCCTGTGTATTAAGTTTTTATGACATTGTCTTTTCTGTCTCCTCCCAGTGCCATCTACTGAGATCTTCTATTTATTCATAACAAACTGCTGTTGTTGTTGGGAAGCATAAAATGCATTACTTCCTGTGAATCTGTGGATTTTTCCTGGAAAAGGCCACCGGATGCTGTTCAACAAACGTAAGAGCTTTCATAAAGTCGATATTGGTTGTATTGCGTCATTCTGTTAAAAAGGAAGAAGCAAAGGGATGTCCCTTTTGCTTCTTCCTTTTTACAGAATGATTATGGTTATGTCATTAATACTTTAAAACTATTTTTACATACAGCGATAGTTGTGTGTAGTAGTGTGGAGATGTGAGTGAAATGTCCTTATCATATGTTCTCTCTTATTAAAGGATTATTTCGGTTTGTACCAAATGGACTGTCATTTGTTTTGCAATTGGTTCTATCTGTCATGAAAATACACTTACTAAAAAGACTGCTGATATCCAGGAGCACAGCGGCATTACAAAATAGTCAAATGGGACCAGACAATGATGCAGGTTTTAAACAAACCAACAAGTTATCCAAACTTACTTGGAAAACAAAGTGAAGCGAACAGTGGTCCATCTCTGACCTACTCTACTGGTTTTCCTGTGCGATGAGGGATTACAAATTTACTTACACTTCTATCTTCAAATAAAGTGGTAGATACACTGTATGCTTGTTTTCAACCTGTACGATCGCCTGTGTTTATAGTCCTGTTGGTCTTTGTTATAGCAATAGTGCCATGGTATCATATCTCAGTACAGTGTTACTATAGGCAACAGCTACAAAAGTAACCACTGGAAAGAAAAGTAAGTTCATTGAAGAAATTACTGTTACTATTTTTAATATCACTCACATTGAGGGGGGTTTTTTTGCTTAATTTTGGGCATCTCTGGACCACAATAAAGAACAGCTGTGCACAGTTAAAAAGGACTCAGAATACAACAAGCTTCCCTCCTCTATTTGTGCCTGCTGGCATGAGCACATAGATTGCATCAGTAGAGATAACAATTCCTGTCTTCAACACTGAAACGTTCCTTCCGCTCTCTCTCTCTTTTTAATGTGGGCACAAATCAGCACAAAACACATCTCTTTCTGTATCTTCTTGTCTCTCTGTTTGCGTATCTTCCATCATCACACCAGCGCCAAGTGACGTCAACATAATTTGTAACTGATAATAACTGAGAATTTCATTCCTCAAATAATAGATGAAGCTCCTCATCAAGGATACACTCCCTGATTTTATTATGATGTATGTGATTATGTTACAAGTACTGCCCCCACCTTTTATCATAAGAAGTGATTAAACATTTCATTTAATTTTTCAATATTCACATCAGATGAAGCCAAACTTTTACATGGAAAGCAGGTAGGGGAGACCACGGATGGTTGTAACATTTTTGACATTTCTGCCTGTATCTGGGAGCTCCTTTAAGCCAGTGTAATCAAAATGTGATCCAAACTATGTGTGTCTGCTATAAAATGGTGTAACTGTTATCTAACAGAAATGCATTGTTTAGTCTCAAACACAAGGAGTAAGTTAGTTGTAACACACCCTGGGGTGAAATGTAACATTATGTAATAAGTAATGTGAGAAAATCATGATATTGAAAGCTTTTACTCAACAATTAAATTAGTTTTTTTTTTTTTTTTTTTTTTTACATAATTAGTGTGTGTGTGTGTGTGTGTGTGTAGGGGTGATCCAAGTATCTTAGTTTCTGTATGTCATAGAATAATAAACATTAGTGTGTGTGTTTCTACTTGCCTTGCACCGTCACAGTAGAAAGAGACATATGGCACTCCTTGAGAGCAGGCTTCACAGGCCCACAGAGAAGCCAACAGGTCTTACACTAACATTTGGACATACTAATACAATTATTACAATTATTTTAAATACAACTAAACAATTTCATTGTTGTAACCCAAACTCTTGTAGCCATGAACTAGCTAACCTTACAACTTACAGCTAAAACATTAGCATTAACAATTTGCATGAAAGAAATCTACATATACACACTAAACGTGATTTAAGTTTGATGAGTTTAACTACAAAGCTGGCAATGCTAAAATAAACTAAGTAAAAATACTTTCTTTTTTTTAAATTCTAAAATTGCCTGTGCCTGCCACAGGGTTCTACGTTTTCCTACATGCAATAAGGACTAAACTGGGCATGTGTTGAGTGAATCAAGTGATTCCTAACTTATCTCTGTTTGGAGAAATTGGACATGTTGCAACTGACCCGTGTTACAACCATCCCCAGTCTCCCATACATGATATGAGTGATCAGTAGTGCAGTTTTTTCATACTAGACATGCAGTGCAGAAAGGTATACCACATGTGATGTAATGATATAGAATACAGAAAGAATTTCACAGCAGCGATTCTTATTTACACTTCTGAGGTAACTGAGGCTGAGTGGAGTGAAGTGAACGTCTCGCGAGGCAATTAAAGATAGGAAATCAGCACATTTTGGCCTCAGACTCACAGCAAAGCAGCCCTGTGATCTCTTGGTGCTGCCCCAGTTTCCAGCATGCAGTCAGGAGGTTTGAAGTTTGATGACATCTCACTCCTTTTCTCTTTCTTTCAGGTTTCATAGCCGCCAAGTGAGTCCTGTCTATTTGTAGGCTGTTTTATTTTGTATGCACACAAACACACTCGCACAACACAAAACAACCCACTAACGAGCCTGTATTGGCCCCCATTCCTTCTCCAACTGTGTCCATGGTTCAAAAGAGCGCTGTTGCATCATAACAACAGCTGGGAGTCTGGCAGGGAGCCAGGCTGTATGTGTGTGTGTTTGTGTGATTTTTGTGCCTGCATTGGCCTGAAAACCAGTGTTGTCTGCTTACTGATTAGGTACACTGAATGTGTGTATAAGCCCATTACGTGTGTTTGTGTCCAATTGCAAAATGTGTGTGTATGTGCACATATATAAAATCACATGTCCATATCCATATATTAGTATTCCATGTGTTATGTGCAATATATTTTTTCCTATTTCAGAATCCCCCAGAATATTACCTGCCAGTTAACGATAGAAAGCCCTGCTGGCTTGTAATTGTAATGTACCTTTCCTTTTAGCACATTCTGAAGTGTTTTTCCCATGTCAGTCAATTCAGTATCAGACACTTTTACAAACTGTTGTTGAATGTTTTCTAATCCTCTGTCTGCACTTGTCTTCAGCTATTATATTCAGCTATTACCGAGAAAATAACAGCAAAATGTGCCCCTTTCTTGGACAGATAATATAACCAGTTTGACAAGTTTGAAACAGTGATGTCTTAATGATGTCATACCTTACAACTATTTCCTTCATATCTGAAGATGGAGTCTCTCAGCTGATACGACATATATGCGAATGTATACGGATAACAAAAAACAACTGTTTTTATCCAGATCTTCAATACAAAGAGCTACAAATTGGACTCCAGATTTAGAGTTGTTCGTTTTTCATGTCTTTACCAAAGCTGTGATGAACAACTCATATGCGTTAGACTGCATACACTGTTTAGTTAATGAAGTTATTCTTGCTAGTGTGATGCTTTGATGAGGAACTCACTTCTCAGTGGTGTTAGAGCTCAGTGCTGCATGCCAACAAGAACAAGGTCATGTTTAGAGTCAAGCAATAGTGCTGGTTTAGGTAACATGTGTCACATGAAACATGATTACATTGACTTAAATTGGATGCCACTAGACCATGAATGTAGTTCCTGGAAATGTTTTTCATTTTGCAGACAAAAATTGGGATAGACTCTGCCAAGAAGAATTGAGGATATGTATAGAGGACAACACACACCGGCTACATTTTGTGGTGTGGTGATATTTTAATGCACATTTAACTTAATCTATTGTAATCAACATTGTTCTGACAAAGATGTAGCAAGTGTATTAATTGTAGGGAAGCCAACAGTGTCCATTGTTGTCTGCCGTAGTGAGAGTAATAAACTATAGATATTTTTCTGGCTTCCCATGAAGCGGAGAAACAGGCCTAAGAGTCTAGACTGAGTCAAACAATGAATCATACCAAAACTGCCCTTGTGAGTTGGCACCGTCACTTTTTTGCATTTTTTCCTAGGCTTCCTACTATGTTGAACATATCAAGGCTTCCATCCATCATCATCAGCGGCTTATCCCGCGTACAGGGGGCTGGAGCCAATCCCACTTTACATTGGGGGAAAGGCGGGGTACACCCTGGACAGGTTGCCAGTACATCTAGGCTTCCTTTCCTTGTAACTAAGGATCAAGCTACTTTCCAAAAATCCATGGAGTAGAATATTTAAAAAAAAAAAAAAAAAAAAAAAAAAGTACAGAAGTCACAGGGTGACATTTACTTTAATTGGTATGATTTTCCTAATGAAAACCAAGGGCAGATCATGCCAGCTCTAAAAACAGAAGAATGTCATCTGCATCGTGCTCACCCTTATAATTTTCAACATGGTTGTAGAACTATACAGTCACTGCCAGCGTTCAAAGAAATAAAGAGAAATGGGCTAAGAGGACAACCCTGTCTAATAACCCTTGCCAGAGGGTAACCCATCAGGGGAAGCATATTCCTCTTTAAAAACAAAAAATAAAATTTGTCCTTAAATTATTCAAAATAGGATGAAAGGTACATTCAATATTTAATTTAATTTTGTAAATATCTTGACAGATGGTCATATCACCCGCTGTCATCACATAACCAAAAAAAAAAAAAACCTTATAGTTGTGACTGACAGCACAGTTTGTTTAAGAGCTATAATTATCCACCAAGCGTTAATGTGATACAGTATTAAATGTGCACACTGCAGTCACCCAGCAAAGGCCAAATGACAATTTTGAAAATTCATCACTAGTCTAGTGGGAAACCTAAACCACAGCATAAAATGCAATGCGTTTCAATGTGCAACAATAAGAGCAAATTAAGTTCATTTTCAATAAACTTTATTTTTATCCCATTTCCCCAAAATGTTACATACAAAAGGTGATCAGAATTGAACATTTCCTTGTTTCAAGACCATAACATTTACACAATAAATAAAAAAGATGTATAAATAAAAAATAAATAAACACGACATTCTGTGCCAAAAAATAAAGACTCTTCTGAATTGGCAGATGGCTTTCACAATGTTGGGTTTTTTGAAAACACATGTACGTAATACTTGCATTCTAGGTCACAGTTTTTAGGATACAACTCTGGGTCGAGAAAGCAATGTAAACCGATAAGGATTACAGTACAACAGAGTACAATGTTTTCTTTTCCCCCCCCATAGTAGATATTACTGGGATATATATACTTATGATACCAGTTGTTCTAAAAGCTTATACCAGGTAGTGAGAGTGTAGTGCTATTGGACTTACTTTTAAACTTGGCTCAAAGTACAAAAGTAAATCCCACCTGTAAAACTCATCTCGAATCTTGTTTGTATCCAGCTTGATATTCACACAAAACAAAACACAAAAAAAAAAGGTTATTGCACTATACAGACATCCCTCAGAAAGGCACTTTTAACCCCCCCCCCCCCCCATTTTCCAACCAACAGTTTTGTTTACCAGCACGTGTGGTGCACACACACACAAATACATTAACCTACTGTATTGTGAATTTAAAACGTAAATCATTTTAAAAATCAAGAAAAAGCCTTTTGGTATCTAGTTAAAAACAAATAAAACAAGTGGTAGTAAAAGGCTTCGCTTTACAGATGATTATACAAAAAAAAAGTGCAAAATTGTGTTGCTCCCATAGCCCCTTTAGTATGCTGTGTACCACATCAGTGAAGATTGTTTTAAATAACTATCAAAAAAAAATAAAAATAAATACATACAAGAGTAACAATGGAGCAGAAGAAGCTATGACTTTCTCCAAAGTTTAGCATCACTGTCATCAAATAAGGCCAGGAATGTTATTTGTGCATGTGAGGTCAAGATCGTAGTGTGATCCTATATATGGCTAATTTATAAAAATAAAAAAAAAGATGAATGGCGCACCATAGTCCAAAAGAGGCCAGAAACCAACCAAGGGTAGGAGGGTCTATCAAACCACAGTTCTTCTCAAAGCACCTCTGCTGTAAGATCATGGTTCCAGGGCAAGTCAGCGGTGTAAATAAACTTGCTGCTAAAATACTTTTAGAAAACTGCCTAAAAAGCACTCCAGCTGCAAGATTATCCATGTTCCATTGCAAGGAAATAAGACAATTTTAGTGTTTAGATACCTTTGAGACACCATATCAGGGTTTTCGCCTACCAGGGGAAGCTGAAAGCTGCAGGGTTGGTTGGTGGCTTTGGAAGATCCAGCCAAGACGCGTGGTTTTGAGTGAGTGAGAGAAGGTAATTGGGAGTTTGGGTTTTCATTTAGGCATCTGTCCGTGAGGGATCCATCATTTCAGGCCATGTAGGAGTGTCTTATTTTGGGTACCAATACCTTCCAGGTGGATACCATAGGCATAAGCTGGATAGCTACAAACCCTTGAGGCAGATGGGTAACTTCCTCACTGCTTTATGTTTATCAAGCCCAAGCAATTTGATAATCAGCTGCCTAATCACCAGTCAGACGAGAATATATGGTCAAATCCTCCGAGCAGGCTTCCATCAACTGAACAGGCGTCAGCTCCCGCCTTGAGAAATTATATCAACCAGTCAAGTTGCCTCTGGGGCATCTTCCAATCAGGCAGCCTGGGAGGCACTGAGCTGTGCTCTCAGGCATCAGCATGATGTTGGAGCAGCTGGACCACATATCGCAGTCGGTGTCTTAGCTCAGAGGTGCATCCCAACTCAATCAGCATGCTGAGGAGGTAAGTGTATGAGACGCGTTCCCGGCTGATGTAGGTGAGCAGGTAGGAGTCGTCAGAAGACTTGCACAGGATGATCTTTGTGTGGTCTGTGTAGAAGTTAACCTGAAAGGAATGCAAAACAGAGCATGAATATAAAGGGGGGGGGGGCTTTACCAAAATGTGTAAACTGCAACAGAGCAACTTTCTTTTAACTTGTAATTTTGTTGTACCACTCTATAAATGCATCTAGAACTAAATGAATTTGAGAGCTTTTCCCAAACCTGTAGAGTGCCATTGTTGAAGAGCATGACAAGAGCATGGTCCGTCTTTACCCACTGAAGCAGCAGAGGAGGAGGACCCGAGACTTGCTCCTCACAGTGAAGATCTCCACCCTGAAGACGACAGAAAATATTGAGATTGAGTTTAATTTAATGTGACATCCTGTAAGCTATTGTCCAATTGCTCCTGGACAACTTTGAAAGCTTCTACCTAAAGAATTAGATGCCTTGCTCATACCTCCATAAGGTTCTGCTCCATGTAATTGGCCATGAGTTCTACAATTTGTCTCTGGCCACGAAGCTGCTCAGGTAGAGAGTTGGCAGGGAAAGTGAAGTGTTTGTTGTTGGTCAAGCAGTAGTGAACTGTCCTGTTGGACAGAAAAATAAGTGTTACGTTTGATTGGGGACAATTTCTGAAATTTAAAAATTAAATCCCCTAAAAATTGTAATTAATGATGGTCAAAAATGTTAATGGGGATGGCTGGCTTGGCTATATGAGACTGGTTAAATATAGTTGGAACGCATATTGGACCAATTTGGTCATAAAAGTAGTCAAAAAGTTCTAAGCAGAATGTAAATGTTTATATATGGCACCTAAATACCATAACAGGTACTTACTTGCGTTGGTCACAAAGACTGAGATGTGTTCCCTCATTGAAGAGCACACCAATGCTTTGGTTTGAGAGCTGGTACCCAAAACCATATTTGTTTGAGTAGTCGACCCATTTAGTCACC